CTTTGTTTTTTCATTTGTGGGCTCCCCACCCATGCAGAGTCTGAGGACCTCATTCTTCCTTTGCAAGAGAAAACTGGAGCAGAGAAGAGTTTTTAAGCAACCAAGGCATTTGTATTGAAACCAGGCAATTAAGAATTGATCTATTCTTCTGTAAAGCAGGGAATTGAGTTCTGTCAGTGTGAGCAAACCCCTTGAGAGTAGTCTGATTTTTCCTATTAGTTTTGGCTTGCTCAGTTACCCTCTCCCTCTCCAAGCTGCCTACAAGTCATTGCAAGTCAGATTTTGGTGTAACCAGCATAGCTTATAGAATCACAGAATTGTGTAGGTTGGAAAAGACTTTTAAGATTATCAAGTCCTTTTAAGATCATCGAATCCAACCATTAACCCAGCACTGCTAAACCACCACTAAATCATGTCCCCAAGTGCCACATCTGCATGACTTTTAAATACCTCCAGGTATGGTGACTCTACCACATCACGGTCAGTCTGTTCTAGTGCTTCACAACCCTTTCAGTGAAAAAATTTTTTCCAGTATCCAACATAAGCCTGTCCTGGGGCAACTTGAGGCCATTTCCTCCTGTTCTGTCACTTGTTAGCTGGGCGAAGAGACCAACCCCCACCTGGCTACAACCACCTTTCAGGTAGACATAGAGAGTGATAAGAACCCCCCTGAGCGTCCTTTTCTCCCAGCCAAACAATGCCAGCTCCCTCAACCTTTTCTCATAAGACTTTTGCTCCAGATCCTTCACCAGCTTTGTCCTTCTTTTCTGCCCTCCCTCATTACTTCAACTGTCTTATTTCTGTGGAGGTTTCCTGTGGTCATGGGAAATATGCCAGTGGTGCCATATATGCCTGACCCCTCCTCAGTGCACTGCGAGTCAGTGCCTTCAGCCCAGGGAACTGCAGTAACATGTTTGCTTCTTAATCCAGAGCAACACTCTTACAGGCACAGCAGTGATGCTGAATTAACATTTGTCCAGCTGAGAACAATTTGGCTTTCAGTCAATAGCGGCCTTTTTATTTGTTGTAATTGGTGTGTGTTGAACGGGGAGCACCATGACTCATGATGGCAGCATGTGTCAGGATGGTGGAGCTGGAGCCACGGGGAGCAAAACAAGTGTAGCTGAAGGGAAAGATGTGGCAGGAACAGAAGCAGGGCTCAGATTTTACTTTCGAGTTAAGGTGAACTGACCAGGAGGTGGCTCTGCAAAGAGTCAGCTCCTGCCTCTTAACCCTCAGTGGCCTTATGACTGCACTTAAAATCATGCTGGACCAGTGAGGAAATCAGTGGGAAAGTGGCCAGGGCCCAACCATATTGAGCATCATTCTGCAGCCAGACTTGTTGATGGGGAGGTTTCAGAGACATACATACACGACCTATGAGATCTAAAATATGTCCAATTTATTAGGATAGCTCAGGGTTTTTATAGCATCTGTATACAAGGTCTCGTGACAAGAAGCACACAATTGGTTACAGGTCACTGTCCAGATGTAAACATGCATTACAAATACCTTTATAATTGGTTATTAACAGGTAACAAGGCAATTATTTACTTTATCGAACTCCCCCTTCTTCTTGGCACCAATTTAGCTTTGTTCTCGAAAAGACACCCACAGCCATCTTGGGACCTATAACTTATAGTACCTATAAAACTATGTAAAAGTTTATAAAAGTCTATAAAAGTACCACACACAATATAAATTGCTCACACATTCATCATGTTTCTCCCACACAGACTGGCTTATGCTACTTATGAAATCCAACCTCAGGCTTCTAATTTTTCACAAAAATGTTTGTCTGTGTCCTTTGCATGTCTGCATGTGGCCTACATCTATGCAACTCACCTCCAGCTCCTTCTGGGGAGTTGTTCTTCCTTAAATATTTCAAGCAATTATAAAAAGAAATTTAGAGATGAATACATGTACAGGACACTTTCCTTCCACCTTTCAAATTAATTCTCCATTTTGCCCTTTAGATGAACAGTAGTTCTGTGGCGAGACCATTCTCTAGAGGATGAACTGGTTTGAACTTGAACTTCTCTTTTCTTTTGAATACATAATGAAGTCTTCAGTGGGCCAGGGAAAGCGAGTGATGATAGCTTTGTCCTGAGGGGATGAGTTCAGGCAGAGTGCTTGACTTGCAGCCTGTATGGTTGCCTTCACTGCTGGACTCAGAGATACTCTGGGAAGAGACCACATGCCTCCATCTTCTCTTCCTCCTCCAGCTAAAACTGAAAAGTCTTCAGGAAAATGCCACAAAGCCTCATCATAATTACTCGGTGAAACAGGACACTGCTTCGGGACAGACTTACAGTTAAATCTGTGGTTTCTTTCTTTGTTATGCAATTGGAGCACTAGCTAATTGTGAGGCTTGCACATTTTGTGTAGTAGTTAATATGTTTAGCTGTGATTTGCAATAATAAATGATACAGTGTTTTGTGACTGCTGTATTCTTGCCTTTGAAGGAAGAAGAGCTAATTGGAGACTTCCTTTCCTTCGGATTGAGAAGGTTCAGATTTCCAGAGTGTTGCACCCGCCATAATTATGCCCTCTCTAAGCTCTTTCAGAAACCCTCTGCTCTTAGTTCAGACAGCTGCCAAGCAGCACCTTTCCATGGCTAGTGGAAAAATGATATGTGCTGTTTTCCAGTTATTACCCCTAAGTCCATGGGGAGCATGTCCTACTGAAGGCAGAGCTTAATGTGTTATGGGTGTTGGGATTTGAGTGAGAGTGTTTGAGTGTTGTCTCTGATAGCCACAGAGATGTCTGTATGCACAGTCAAGGCATGTTGGCTGGGACTGACTTCAGATCACATCTCTCCTGGTTTTAGACAAAATTAATGGTTTTACTCAGCAAGGAACCTGCTTACTGTCTTAACTGATCCCTGTTGCTTACTGGGGAGTTGAACACCTTGATGGGCAATAGGGTATCTGGGGAGGCATCTAACGGGCTGACTTTTCAGCCAGTCTCCGTAGGAGGCTGTCACGATCCACAGTGCAATTAAGAGCTTTATCATCCCAGCACAGAGCAGAGCATCAGCCCTTTTCTCAGAAATCCCATGAAGACGCAACTGCCTTCCCATTACTTTCATGTTCATGCTTCTAGATGGTGGTTATCCCTGCGGCAGCTCTGCACTGTGGCCCAGCCACCCTGCCTCTGGTGACTAAGACTTCAACAGCCTCAGAAATGATGGAGGAAACAAAAATACCGATTTGTTTGTGCTGTTTGTTGGTTTTCTGGGATGGTTATTGGTACATCAGACACACACAAAGGCACAGGCCAAGTTCAGAGCCTTGTGGTGCAGATTAGCCTTTCCTTTTGAGGGAAGCAAAAGCTGTCAGGGAAAGAGAGGCAGGGAGACAATAAAGCTGGGGCAGATGTAGAGTGGAAGGGAGAAGGGCTGAGAGGCTGTAGGATAAGCAACCACTGCTGCTGGTGACCACCATATTTTAGGTCTGTTGCCGTGCCATGGGTAAATCTCTTCTCACAAATCCCTGAAGTCCTGGGATAGGTGTGGATAACTGCATGAAAGCATCTGTCAAGGAATACGCCTGCCTAGGCTGCTCTCCCCCACGTCAGCAGTGCTATGGGAGCACAATCTGTCTGCCAGCCTGGAGCAGTGACGTTGTGTTGCATCTTCTCCTGACAGGGAAACTTCTTAGAGGGGTTTGATCACTGTGAAGCCATTTCAGAAAACTGACAGCATTTGCTAATGCTGAGCTCACACAACCGTGCAAGTCATGAGTCACGTTGTGAGCTGGTCTCAGTTTTGCGCAGCATGTCAAATCAATTGGGGAGAAGAAATGCCAGGGCCTGTTCAAGGAAGAGCTGCTGTATTATTTTCTTACTCAGATTTTTTTTCCTTTTACCTCTTTGTTTTCTTAGGTGCGTGGTCACTTGCTATTTCAGGCTGATTGTGCTTTCAAAACAGAGCCTTACCCAGCTGGAGTGTGCTGAGGGTTACTCATGGGGGATGCTCAGGACATTCCTTTCTGAGCACTCAGATATCCCAGGCCAATAGCAGATGCAACTGGGAGAATGGTTCACATTTTTGTGTGCAAAGCCAAGCTCTGAAATGTTTTCTTCTTCACTACCCAAGCAAGACTCTCAAGGAATGCAAAGAAAATTTTCCTTGAATCAAAAATGTCAGCCAGGCCTATGGGATTTTCCAGGCAGAGATTAAGCTCTCTTTCTATATCTTCCTCACCAGAGTGATGAAAAGCAGCCAGGCTGACCTGCATTAGACCTGAATGGAAACACAAAAGGCTCACAGTATAAAATGCTCCCAGACCCAGGGCTGAGCTGAAGTACAGACCCTGCTCCACTTTTCTTGGAGACCTGTGTGTCCCTGCCCTACTGTGCCCCAGGAAACTGCATGATTTTGCAGCCAGGCTCAGGGTGCTCTCTGAATGTTGTTAGTAGCATTAGAGAAACCCAAATGAAAACTCAGTGAGCACTCATCCACCAGTGCCCAACTCTAGGAATAGTTGAGCAGACTAAAGGAGAGATGCCTCCTGTTTTATTGATGTCAGGCAGGGAGCCCCCAGTGGTCTAGGGGAAAAGACACTGCACTGTCACTGCAGAGACCCGGGTTCGATTCCCGGTCGGGGCCCCTCCCTGGGCAGATGGAGCTCGCTAGCCCTGTAAGGCAATCCATCTACGTCCTGAGGACCTCGCTGCCACCGTCCAAGCTTGCTTGGCCCCGGCAGATGAACCTCAGGATTAAAGGGTGGGCTCAGTTCCGCGCACACTGTGTCTCACCTAAAAAATCCAATGCGCAGGCTGGAAGGTGGAAAGACCTTCCCCGGTTCTTCGTTCGCGAAGAGACTGGTCATTAACATTAACATTAACATTGATGTCAGGCAACAAAAAATCTGTGCTCAATAGAAATAGTTTTCAGCTACGGAAAAGATAGGCAAGCAAGGGTCTTCAAGGGGCAGGAACACACTGCTGGCAAAGCCTGGGTATTCACGCTGCTCTTTGCATTTTATTTTCTCTAGGAGCTTCAGAGAAATCCTCATTTGATCATGGATGGAGTTAGCAGATTTGATATCATGCAAGGAGAAATAGGTAAGGTTATATTCTTGTTTTGGAAAAGATGGGCACAAGGCAATAACCTGTGATTGCTTTGCTCTGTTCCGAGTGCTTGGTGGGAAGACATGGACAGGGGTAGCCACAGTAAACAACTAGTGTAGGTCAATCCAGACTCACACAAGTCCACACACAATTTATTGCAGCTATTTAAAAGGATTCCCAAATGCAGCAGCTGAAATTCTTGTTCCTTATATATGGCACCTGCCTTCTTTCTATACAAGGACAAGCATAAAAAGGGAGTTCCAAGTAAGATTAGGCAGATGCTTCAAGTACAAGGGTCAAACACAGTTAACTGTAAGTAGTTAAACAGGCTCAGCTCCAACATGTAGAACTGAATTTTCTTTCTATCCTAACATGTTCATTTGACTGTCAGCGTTTTCTTTCCCATGAATATTTCTGATCATCTTCTCTGATATTTACTTGGTATCAGAGTATGTATCTGCAGCCTGTATCAGTTCCATCTTTAACTCCTGGTCCATTACCATGTTTGTCTTTGGCAGCATCTCTGTTCCCGTATAGAAAGATGTTTCTCACCGCTCTGAGAAGTTTGAAGGTTTCCTAAACAATGTTCTAGACCATGAGTCTTAACATGACTGCAAAAGATAGGAGGAGCATGAGAGCAGAAAAGGATGGCTGGGTGGCATTAGGGTTCCCAGTGAACACTGTTGGTGAATACTGGGTAGTGGCTCCGCACTTTGAAGGAGGAAAAGGAGACAGAAGAACGTTGGTTTCTTTTAACAAACTGATTCTTAGGTGTCTCAGATGTTGCAGCCCATTCTTTCTAAAGAGTTAACTGTGATCCACAACAGCGAGTAACTGACTAAATGCACTGGATTCTTCCCTCCCCTGAGGTGACTGCTGGATGCTGGCTGCCCTGGGCTCCCTGACACTGCGCAAACAATTTTTGGAAAATGTTTTACCAAAGGACCAAGGATTCCAGGATGATTATGCTGGGATTTTTCATTTCCGGGTATGTATTCTCTGTCCTACTGGTACCACTTGAGCTAAGATGGTTGGATTATATAGGGGTCCAAACTGCAGTCCCACATCTCAACATCCTTGAATGCTTTGGTTCTTCAGTGCTGGCTCCTAGTTCAGAGTTTCACAGAAAATCCCAAGTTTTCTAACAACTCCTGTGTTCCAGGTGGTGCAATCACACTTCAGGGAATTTGATGCCCTTTTCTGAAAGTTATGACTCCAGAGGTACCGGTGCCAGCTGTTCAGATAGATTTGTGTACATATATGTTTTAGATGGAATTCTGGTGTCTGCTTTGATTTGGACAGTCTGTTATGACTGTCAGCTCACCTGAACTATCTATTTGGACTCATTTTCTGTTTCCCCACTCACCTTGCCCTCTTAGCTTGTTGAAATGGCTTGAAATGACAAATCCTTGGAGACAGATCAGAGAAACAGGCTTTTGATATTTTGAAAAGAGAATTGTTTTAGAGAGAAGAACAAGGCTTTTTAGTAAATCTCACTTTCAACCAAGTCCCAAAATTCTCTGAATCTCCCAGGAGGTTGACTGGGATTGCAACTGGCAGGCCCTGCTTGCTTGCATCTGAGTCAAACAAATATCTTGTGGGATTAGAAGAGCTTGCAGTACGATTAAGCTCCAGAAGCTAAACTGGATGTAGAGAGTAAATATATACTCAGGCATTCATCATCCCTCTTTTTTTTCACAAATCTGTTTTGTTATATGCCATTTAGTACCAAGCAAAGAGCTCTGGCAGTGAGACTCCTTTGACCTCCTGGAGCTCTTGAGGAGCAGAACCAGGAGGATTACTTTGTGGACAGTCTAAATTTTGCTCCATTCCTTTGCTCCTCAGAATACCAGATGTTTCTATCTTGGCCCATTTCCAGCATAGAGAGCTACACTGTATGAGATAAACCAGCTGAAGGGACACCAGTATGCTTAAAACAAATTAAAAGGATGCAAGCTAGATTGTCTTTCATGGGAGCTTTGAAAAGATTAGTTAGGCGCAATCCTTAAATCTTAAGCAGTATAAATACCTCACAGTATTTGAAAATGTTTTCCCTGTCATCTCATCTGCAAATCAATGCAACTGTTTTTGGCTTTCCTTGAGCAATAAACCCCTGAGAAAGCTACTCTGAATGGAAATGCTTCTTTCAATTATTCCATCAAAGATATTTTACTGCCATCCACAGGCTAAGCCACCAGTCCTCAGTTCAGTGAAGAATCGCAAACAAGGCACATCATATGCTAATGTAAAAATTGTAGCTTATAACTTTTTTACGCCTTTTTGGATCTGGACCATGTTGTCTCTCAGGAATAAAAAGGGCTTCTCCAGTATTCCTACACAGCCCTGGCTGTTAGGCTGCAACAGTCAAGGGTGTTCAGCACTTCATCAGCTCTAGTTAGGATGGGCGATGTTGTTATCCAGGGAATAATTACCGTGACACTATTTCCTCAGGAATTAAGGCAGTCCTGTGTTTGTATAGGAATCACTTTCTCTGTCACAGAAGCTCTGATTTGATGCCTGTGAGGCAGAGTGTGCCACTCATTGTGACAGTGAGCAGCAGCAGCTCAGCCTGGGAAAAACCCAGAAATATTCTCCAAGGACTACAGGGGATTATGGCACAGTGCATCAACTCATAACCAAAGGGATCTGCTCTGAGTGTTAATGTCTCTGGTCTCAGGAAGAAACTGATGAAACCCTTAAAGACCGCAAGTGGTCAAGACCTCAGTTTCAGGAATCATTCAAAAGGTGCCTTTTAACACCTTAGAAGAGAGAGTAGCTGACAGGCATGGGATTTTTGCTTTGCTCAATTCCAGAACTGGATTTCTCTAAGATCCCTGTTAATGAAGAGAAAAAAGGGGGCAAAATGACCACACAGCATTTCCCCTTTGACCAGCAGAACCCTAAATGTGTTGCTGTCATCTCACAACTGTCCACTTCTTTTTCTTCCTATTAAGCACAGGAAAATAAAGTCCTGATTTAAAAGGTTCATCACAAATGCAGAAGTGGAGAACTTCCCTCCTTGCATCCTGCCTAAACAGTGATTCTTGGTTTTGTTTACTACCACAGTCACATACTTAAATCCTGAAGGTATAAGGAAATTTCACGAATCTGGAATAAAGCCAAAAACTGAAGGCCTTGACCCTCTTTGAAGGCATATGGAGAAGAATAGCTTCTTCTCTACCTCTCTTTCACTCCCAGAGTATCCTAGGGTTTTCCATAAGGTTTCTTATTCCCCCTCTGACTTTTCCTGTCCTTTTGAGCTCAAATGAGACCATGATCTGACAGTCTGTGACAATCAGAATAAAACAGCTCTCTTTAGCTAGCTGAAGAAAAATACAGTGTGGTGTTCAGAGGGCCTCCAAGCTTGAGCTCCCTGACAAAGGGGGCCAAAGAACTTGGCTTTTGGAAAAATGTCACTCAGTGGGTTTGTGTTGCAGTTTGAGGAGCTTCTAAAGGGTTTCTCCCGGCCACTCTGTGAAGGTTTCCAGGGCTGAGATCAACCCCCCCACCGATTTCTCTTTTTATAATAGGAACATAAGTCTTAAAATTACCTGTTTTCTCAAGTTCAATACAAATCGTCTTACTCACTTTCTCATTTTTATATCAACCTTTATATTAACCTTTACCCCAGGTTCAACTAGAAAATCTTCATTGTTAAATTCCATTAAAATTACAAATGTTGTCTTTATTATAAATAAGAAAGGGTGAGATGCAGGGGTTTGAAGTTGTTAACTTTCTTGCCTATCATTGGTTCCTGTGTTGCCATAGTTATTATATTGTCTCCCTGCATTGGCTAGCCAAATGGCCAATCCCCTCTTTTCCCCACCAGCCCTTATAAACTGGGGGGAGATTTGAATAAACTCTCTTTGCTGCTGGACTTCCTGGGTGCTGCGTGGTCTCTGTCTCCTGGCATAGGTACCTCCGCTGCCTGTCCCTGCCACGAGGGACGGGTGGCGGGGGTAGGGGGGTGATCTCAGCCCTGGAAACCTTCACAGAGCGGCCAGGAGAGACCCTCTAGAAGCTCCTCAAACTGCAACAGAAAGGGGGCTGGTGGGGAAAAGAGGGGATTGGCCATTTGGCTAGACAATGCAGGGAGACAATATAATAACTATGGCAACACAGGAATCAATGATAGGCAAGAAAGTTAACAGCTTCAAACCCCTGCAGGTTTGGACTGCATTAATCCCCACAACCAGTTCTGTATGTTCTCCTTGTTTACCCATTGTGTTTGCACTTGAAGAACCATGGGGAGGTGTGGCTGGATGTCACACCTTTTCTCCATACAGACCTGCTTCCATATGTCCACTGGTGACAGAAGGGCAGGTTAGGTGACTGAAAAGGCATCTCCTTTTGGACAGTCCTTTCACCTCGCTCTATTTTGGGCAAAGGACAGCAAGTCGAAGGCTTTTCCTTAAACCTCATCCTGCCAAAATCAAGCAGAAGCCTCAAATCACTCATGGAGCTCAAGTTCCAAGAGCCTAACCCTACCACCTCCTGCTGGCGCTAATGTAGGAAGTAAGAGGCCTGGGTGAGGCAGAATGTAAGTAGGATCAAACTTGCTTTCAGCTTAGCAGGCTGTAAGCTGCTTTGCTGCTGGGCAGATCTGGTCTTGTGCTTTTCTAGCAGAACAGCTCATTTCTGAGTTTTTCGTTGACCGAAGCTGTTGAAATAAAATCATGCTAGACTAAATCTGTTGCTGGCACACTTCCACTCGAGTCCTTAGCATTACTGCAAATAAGAGCTTGGCCTCTTATGATGGCGAATCATGCTAAGCTACATTAATCTGCTAATGACTCTGGGAATGGCTCCTTTAGTTCATCCCCACAGATCTCTTTTCCTATCTTCTCTCTTGAAAGGTTTCGTCAGCTGGATCAGCTGGAGAAACACCTGCTCTGTCCACATGCTGGAGAGACCGCCTGTGTCCTTCTCATCCATCAAGGAGATGGATAACACCTCAAAGCAGTCTTTAGTCACTACACTGTCTCTGTCTGTGACAGCATGTCAGAGTCTTAATTGAAACACAGAGCAAAGAAAATCTAGAGGCTGGATCTTGACAGAGGCTCTCTGGCCAAAAGCTGTGCTGCAGGGGAAAATCCATGTGCAGCTGACGAGTGAGGCTCATGGAACCATCTGCATGATCATTCTTTATCATCTTGAATGCTTCTATCACCCACGAATATTAGCATATTTCCCGTGTTGAATCTCTTCTCCCACTGATTGAAGGACTATTTATATTCCCAAATGACTTACCCTGCCACTGGGAAATCCAGCCAATTGGTAGCTTGTTTAACAATGTGGACTCTTAGCCTGAAGCAGTTCAGGAGAGAACCATGCTTTAGATTAATTCCTGTGGGGGGTTTTATTGTGAGGTTTATGGGGTTTTTGGTGGGTTTTTTTGGTTGTGTTTTTGTGTGTGTGTGTGTGTGGCTGGGTTTTTTTGTTTGTTTGTTTTGGTTTTGGTTTGGTTGGGTTTTTTTTTTGCTTTATATATATATATATATATATAATTTATTTATTTCCAGTTCTGGCAATATGGAGACTGGGTGGATGTAGTGATAGATGACCGACTGCCAATCCTAAATGGAAGATACCTGTCTGTTCACCCTCGAACTTCAAATGAATTCTGGCCATCCTTGCTGGAAAAAGCATATGCCAAGTAAATATACCTGGTCTATTCTTCTGCCCAGTGCTGAATAATTTCTGTGGGTGGTTTCACCCTCTGCCTTGTGCAAATCACACAGGGAGGAGTTCAGGCTGACACCTGGGTATGTTGTGTTGTGCTCATGCAAAGATCCATGGCTGCCTGCAAACATGGAGCCAACATAACCTGGAGATGTTGATCTTGAGTTAGACCTAAATGTACCCAGTTCAACTCTGGGACGTTAATGCCTGAGAAGTAAAATGAACAGGGCAATGGCTAGTGACACAAAAGGGGCTGGGATCTCCTGTTTACTTTAAGAAAACCTTTTTGCCTCTGTTTTTCTTTCCGTATTGTTCTCTGTTTAAAACTGCAGACTCTAAGCAGGGATTATCTCTGTTTATAGTCACTAATCAGAGATCACGTGGATATTTGGAGCAGGCCGTGAGAAGAAGCGTGCATGAAGAACATGCCCAGGCACAATACATGCACTCCTGTGAGTCTCTGGTCAGCTCTCACCTCACACCTCTTAGCTGAGGTCCCCAGAGTACTTCAGGGTAAATAATGCTCAATAAAGAGACAATAATTTTAAAAAGTCCTCTGGGGAGTGAAGGGATCAGAGTGCTGTCCCTTAGTATTTGCCCATTGCCCATTATTAAGTTTGCTGAAGAAAAATTCCTGTTCTAGGGGTAGCATGATGGGTTGGAACTTGGTACCTGAAGCTGGTGTAACATTTGCAATGCAGTAAAGAGGATTCGAAGAAAATAGATAATAATTTTGGCAGATTTGGTCAGGAATAAGCAAATGTTAAAGCACCATCACACCAATTCATGAATAGGATTCATTTTGCCCTGAGATATCTCAGAAAAGTTGACTCAAGATTTAGTATCAATTTGCCGCATAAGATTTTAATTACAATGCATACCAATCCTCTATTAAATTAAAGTTGCAAGCAATGCTGTTTATGAGATTCCCATTTGAGAAGTTATTCCCCAGTGCCCAAGACAAATTCTTTTCATCAGTGTAGGACAAGGACAACTCTTCAAAATACAATTAGCCGCAGAGTTCATTTGATTACATTCATTAAATACAGTGTGTATGGTGGGGTTTAACAGCATGATCTACCTGCTCTAAGTACGGCATGTTCCAGCTTATTTGCTGTCTCAATAAAAACCATGCGATAAAATCAACAAGGACTGTGTTTGCAATATTAAATTATTATCCTATTATTGCACTCTAGCAGAGTGAACTGGAAGCAGTGCTTAAAATTTTTTCTATCTTGCCTTGGGAGCATGGGCAAATACCTTCACCTCTCTCTTTTTCCTATTTCTCTTTAGCAAAAGGGATAGTGGGCATTTTTGTGAAGAGTCATGACAAAATACGGTGTAGAAACTAACAGTTAAGCTGCATTTGATCTGAAACATCCATTTGAACTAGTCACCCTTGGCCCCCTGTTCAGAAACTGGATGCTTCAAGATGAGATGCAGCTCATCTCCCTAAAATGTCTGTGTTGGCGTGAGATGCACCTTATTATTTTCTACTGTCTGTGAATGACTCTAGACGGCTGCCTCAGATGTGGATGAATACATAGGAAAAGCTCCCCCTTTTCTCATTCACTCCACAGGGCATGTGTTGTGTCGGGTCATGTGTTTCAAACACATTTCCTTTCATTACCTGGTCACAATGTCTACACACCCCAGGCTCCCCACCTGCTGATCACCTTGATGCACATATCTATTTTGGAAATGAGTAATGTACATTGTTTATAAAACACAGTGTATGGACTAATTACCTTTTATTTTCCCTCTTTTTTAAAAATTTTTTTCTTTTTTTTTTTCTTTTTTTTTTTTCTTTTTTCTTTTTCTCCAGGCTGCGGGGCTCCTACCAAAACTTGAATGGAGGATACCTTTCTGATGCTTTAGTAGACCTCACAGGTGGAGTTCAAGTGCAGTTTTCATTGAAGGATCCACCTCCTGATCTGGAGGAGATACTGAAAGCAGCTGACAAATCTCGGTGTCTCATGGGGTGTAGCACCCCAGGCCATGTGAGTCACAGGGCCAGTAATATGCTTCACTTGGTTTACTGTGTTTGCTCTTTAAGTTGTAAAGGAAGTCTATAATCACTCCGTGCAATAGTTACAGTTTATGGATGCCTGAAGGGATCTTGGCAGCAGAAAGTATGTAAGGTTATTTGGTAAGGAATGTTAAGACATTTGGGCAGATGTAGATGGATTGGTCTGTCAGAGAGGGAGCTGTGGCTTCTCTCCTGGGTAATTCCACTGCAATAGAGGAGTGTCCTCTTGCAGCGTGACTGATTTTGACCTCACAGGTTTGTGATCAATTCTACCAAAGCCAAAATGTCCTTTCCTTCTGCGAGAGGATGCTATTATCACATCGTGATTTGAAGGTTACTGGTATTAATGCTGGGAATGTGCAAAAGGCTTTGTGATACTCAGTGAGTATCTTGATAAAATGTCTCCAAGGCTTCCCTCACAGCATGTAGGGGAGGACTGCAAAGTGTGTGACATTGTTTCTGTAGTGCCTGCTTCACCAGGACGTGAAGCTTGGCTGTTGCAAACAAGCCAAGGACCAGCATCTGAGCTCAGGTGGCTTATGTTGGGCCGTGAGCAGCAGAGAAGTTCTGCAGATCCGCAGTCTTGACTGCTGGTCACCCAGTGCAGCTCATTTTGCAGTTGCCGTAGCTCTGGACCATTGAAGAACTTGCAAATAAGTGGAGAACCATAGTTTTGTTAAATTTACTGGCTTGCTTATGGCTGGGAACAAGAGTCACATTCCTCTAGAGTGAGTATTTCAGTATGTGAGATACTGCTGTAGTCAATGGCAGCTTTTTTTAGTGCTGTTCTGGAGCTGTGGCTGTACCTTCACAGTGTGGCAGAGAGCTAAAAGCTGTGCTTTCTCCCTTCTGCAGCCAAAGAGGAACATAGAGCTGAGGAATGGGATTGTACAGGGTCATGCCTACACTATCACAGGAGCTGTGAAGGTAAGATCAGGGACTTGTTCCTGCCTGGAGGTCTTGTACTGATGATCCACTACAGGGCAGTTGCACTGCTGTTCCATTCAGAGAATTTTAATTAGTGTCGCACTTAGGAGGGATTGTTGAAAGCCCATAGTTCAAATTCCAAGAGATGGAAGGATTCTGGCACAGCAAGAAGAGGGAGGATATCCAAATCTATAATTTTTCGTAATGGAAAAATGCAACTTATTTTCAATTTTGTTTTGGGACACTTCAGGAGCAAATAAAGCATTTCTGGATATTTTCATTCCATGCTGACTCTTAAAAATTTTGCTTTTCTGTTTCAAATAGAAATAGAAGCACTAGCTGAAATTGTGGGATTTGTCATATGATGCAAATCTACATTTGTTCAGCTCAATCACAAGCTGCCAAAAATCACTGTGTGAGAAGTAAATCTCTGGTTCAAGAACAGCATTTCTGCATCTTTTAAAGCTGTTCTACTCATGTAGAACTGCTCTTGGCTGGATATTAATACTGATGGTCTGAAAACAGAACCAATTTATCACATGGATCAAAAGAAATGAAGGATTTTTTGCAACCAGAAGTTAGAACCTGCCTTACCCAGTAAGCTGTAGTGCACACAGGGAGAGCTAACAGTGAGCAAGGCCAAGAAGGAAACCAAACAATAGCTGTGCTGTCAAGCAAGGTAGCTGCAAAACATCTGAGTCTCAGAATCTAAAGTACTTTGGAAAGGGGACATTGTTTTCCCTTGGCTGTTTTCTCCCTTCTCCCTCTCTCTTTGATGGTTTCTTGTACGAGCTTGGCTTTGGTTCCTATCCACTCATGCCATGGCATGCTTGGTGCCATCATCATAACATGCTGCTTCTTGGAGGACACTTACTTGTTATCAAGAGGTTATGAAATGGCTCCAAAGAAGGCCCAGCTGTGTCTCTCCAGCTCAGGGGCAGAAGGATCCCTAATTCTATTGGAGAAAAAGCAGACTGTTCCAGCCTCCTGTTGCTCATGGTATGTGCAGAGAGGAAAAACAGCCTTTACCCCACATTATGGAAGTGCCGAGGCATCCAGGGAGCTGTCTTGTGGGGAAATGATTGGAGGCTGGGCCTTTGCCTGGGAAGAATCTGCCATTGCATTTGTCTCCAACACTGCCTGTGTGCATAAGGAGAGATGGAAACAAAAGGGTTGTTTCTCCTTTCCACCATTTTGGCTTTACTGGCAAAAGTGAGTTGCCTCTGACTTAAATCAGTGGCAGCAAGAGGAGAAAAGCACCAGAAACCTCAGCTGTTGGAAACCCCAGTACTGTAGATATAGAGCCACAGACTCTGTTTATCATCTCTCGGTGCTGACTGTTGGCTTTCACTCCAGGCAGTCTGGTGACCTCGTTCCTCAAAGTCTCTGCCTCTGCTGACTCACAGGATCAGATGTGTGGAATTAGGCACTGGAATTTCCCAAGGCTGTTGAATTCATGTGGTGTAGCAGGAATGCTGATGATTCTCTCTGTGTCAGTTATTCATTATCCTCAGGAAAGTAAAATGGGAGCAGTTTTCTCTCACACATCATTCCTTTGCAACATAGCAAAAGGCATTGCTTTTTAGTTGCAGTCAAATGAGATCAGAGGTTAAACCAGGTCTCTAAGGTTTAGAGGATGATCCATTTTATTACCCATCTCTTCACTGAATGTCATGATTGTGAAAAGCTGTGACTGAGTTTGTTTTTCTTTCCTCTTTACAGATCCGCTACAAGAACGTCTGGAAACATATCATCAGGATCTGGAATCCATGGGGCCATGGGGAATGGAAGGGGCCCTGGAGTGATGAGTATGGTCTTAAAGCTTTAATGTCATAGAGAATCGATCTTTTATAGGCTTATTGTAAAGAACCTCTGCCTTGTACCCATTTTAACAAAACAGATATTTCCAAATCAATTAATTATAAGTGTTATTTCCATCTGCAAAGCAACTGCCCATGGAAATCCAATCCAGGGGAAACTAATGCAGTCTCACTAGACTCAGGTATCCCATCTTGTCTGGGTGTACATTTTACCTGGTGCATGATTCCAGATAAGTCTGGGATGAAAGAGTTTTTAATTCCTTGATTTAGCTCTGACCACGTCCCTAGATGCTGAGTGTCTGCTTCTATTGAATTTCTTTGCAGCAATCATGCATGCGTCTTCCTCCCTTTCCTTCCCCTGCCCTGATTCTAAATCTGGGAAGAGGATGGTGAGACAAATCCATGGAGTATGGCAGTATTGAACACAGAAGGATAAAAAGGGTCCTTGGTTATTGCAAAGGCAAAGTGCCAGAGAATGGCTTGAACTGACCTTTTGGAGCCCGGATGCAGCTTTGGGGATGCAAAGACCTCTTTGCTGCTGTGTGTATAGCGAAGACTGGCCATTTTTTGACAATCTACTATCTCTTCTGAAAAAAATGGAATTATATAGAGGAAGACTGCAACAGTGTTTCATAAAGAAATAGATGTTAGTTTTCCTGTTGGAATAGCGTCAGTATTTTCAGGACTAGAGAGATGTTCCTGTGTCACTCTTAGGTTATCCCACCTCTCCTTGTTGCTAGGATCACTCACAACTTCTCTGCTGAGAAAAGTCAGGCTAGCATGTTGCATCTGGATGGGGTGGTGGGTTGTGCAGACATGTTTAAGGCTGGGATAGTATCTATCTGCTCAGACAGCATCCTCCCATTTTTTGGAAGAGTGAATACAATCCTAGCTGTAATTGACATGTCAGTAGCGCATTCACAGGTAAGAGGCATGAATCAATAAATTATTGATTCACGCTCTGTTTAGTTATCTTAAACTCTGCAGAAAGTACAATTATCACTTAATTATAAACATGCAGCTTGGAAACAACACATTTGACTAGCTAATGTGCTCTCAACATGTGAATGAAATATCAGCACTTCAGAGTGCTATGCCTTGGTACCTCACTAACCCCTCCAGCATGGGGACAGGTGACCAGAGGCAGGATTCCCCATCCCAGAGTGGACAACTCAGACAGGCACAGCAAAGGTGCAGAGCTCTGTTTGCTGGCCTTGGCTATGAAGGTATCAAGCACGGTCCTGTTTCCAGTGTGCAGTTTGTTCACCCTCTCTGATCCCGCATTTCTTGACAGGCCGGTTAGAGAAATAGGCTTGCCAGAGAGATGAAAAATTGTGCAGAGAGGTGAAAAATTGTGCCTCACATCTTCTTGTTGATTTGTTCCTTTTTGCAGCTCTCCTCAGTGGGACCATGTTGAGCCTAAATACCGAGAAGCCCTCCTCAGAAATAAGGATGATGGAGAATTCTGGTATTTTCCTATTGATCCTTTGTCTACCAGGTTTTCTGTTTGTCTTCCTTATGAAAAAAAGAGTAATTTTGACAGTATTCTGCTCTTAGTGATGGCTCAAGACACCCTATGTTAGCTGTGTGCAAACAGCAAACTGGAGGTTGTCCTGAACCCATGGTTTCAGAAGAAACGAGACCTGAAAAAATGGAGCTGGCCAAGATTAAGTAACAAGCTGGTGAAAAAAATGAGAAGTGACAGAAGTAAAAACCCATCCCCCTGAGATCTGTCACACTGCCATTTCCAATAAAGTACCTGGCTTGAACCTTGAACTGACAAATGCTTGAAGGGGACAGGTGGCTAAGCAGGTCATAGAGCTTGTGCACTAGGCTGCTCTGCAGGTGTTGTGGTTTTTCACTGCCTCTGATTACTCTCAGATACAGTTTAGCCATGTATGAGCCATCCTTTAGAAAAACCATTATTATTCAGAAAGTGCACACTTGCCCTGTGAGGCTCTGAGGAAATCAGGGCAACAGCAAGCTGGTCTGAAACAGACACTTGAAGCTTAAGCAGAGGATGAATGTGAGACAGGACACTGTGGAGGGGCAGAGGGGCAAACATGTGCTCGAGATATCAGGACTCCACTCCTGAACATGCCCTGTGACTTACCTGAGGCATTAGGGACAGTTAGGGCAGCCCAAAGGCATTGAGAGCTGGTCTCTTCTGCAAGGTATCAGCCAGTGCAATGTTCTCAGTAATCCCCTTTTAGAGACATGGATGGTGAATGGGAATACCTAACTAGTGTCTTCACAGAATCACAGAAGGGATCAGGTTGGAAGGGACCACAGTGGGTCATCTGGCCCAACCTCCCTGCCTCAGCAGGGTCGTCCCAGAGCACACGGCACAGAATTGTGTCCAGACAGTTCTTGAACATCTCCAGTGAGGGAGACTCCACAGCCTCTCTGGGCAATCTGTTCCAGTGTGTGGTCACCCGCATAGTAAAGAAGTTCTTATTCAGGTGGAACTTTCTGTTCATCAGTTTCTGCCAATTGCCTGTTGTCCTACTGCTGGGCACCACTGAGCAGAGCCTGGCTCCATCCTCTTGGCACCTTCGCTTCAGATACTTGTAGGCATTGATAAGGTCCCCTCTCAGTCATCTCTTCTCAAGGCTGAACAGGCCCAGCTCCCTCACCCTTTCCTCATAAAGCAGTTGCTCCAGTCCCTTAATCATCTTTGTTGCCCTCCACTGGACCGGCTCCAGGAGCTTCATGTCTCTCTTGTACTGAGGAACCCAGAACTGGACACAGCACTCCAGATGTGTCTCACTAGGGCTGAGTAGAGGGGCAGGATCACCTCCCTTGACCTGCTGGCAATGCTTTTCCACCTTAAACTGCTTTTCCTCCTCTGCAGGATGTCCTGTGAAAACTTCCAAGAGCAGTTTTCATGGCTATATATATGTAACAATACCCCAACATTTCTGGACTTCGGAGATCAGCACTGCACAACATGGTCTCTGGAAAAGCATGTCAACCTGTGGAGTCCAGACCCTGCCACAAGAAGGAACTACTATTCCTCAGGTAATGAACACTCACTGCAGTCACCCAGTCCTCTCCGCTGATGCTTGTGGAGAGCACCAAATTGCAGAAATATTGATTGCCAGTTGTTAATGCCTGCCCTTTCGCATTACAGCACTTACCAGCTAAACAGGCAGAAACAAAGCAACAGCACTGGCTGCTGAGTTAAAACAGGAGACTTGTGATTTAGGAACCCTGGACTCTTTAAATCAAAATGAGCTTGTATATCTTCTTGCAGCCAGTTGCAGTAGATGTTACTGGGGACCTCATCAGAAAGTCTGACTTGGCAAATATGTAGCTGATTTTCCAGAGCAAGAAATACTCTGAAATTAAATGGATATGAAATGAAAAAGTTATGCTACAAAGCTCTAATTTTTTTAAGGTAAAAAGGTCTTTGAGCAGATAATATCCATTGGTTTTACTCCCTGTGCAAGGACCCTTCTGGCATTGCAAGCTCCGATCATTTTTATCTTAATTTATCTCACTTATTTTACAACTTCATCACTACTGGGGCTCTGTCTTTTTAATCTAAGATGGTAGCATGTGATCAGTGAAGGGGCTTCCTTTTTTCTGCAGTGCTGATCCCTGACTTATCAGCGAATGGGTTTTGGCTTACAGGCTTCAGGCTCTTCCTCACAGCCAGATTACCATGTCTCAAGGTGTGACAACAAAGCAATGCCTGTGCTGCTGCACACCATGGGCACTGGGACTGAGTGAACAGATGCAGGGGCTGCACTGAGAGTGTGTGGGCAGAGGCAGTTTCCTTGGAGCTGTGTTTTCCACCAGCACTCTAGTGAAGTCCCTGTCCTAGTACAGTCATGCTAATTTGCAGCTTTCAAGGCCACCCAAAGCAGGTATGCTAAAATTCCAGACTGGCCTAAGTCTTGACTGTTTTAAGCAGATGCTGCCATCTCAATCCTTTTTCCCAAGTTGTGGCGTTTCACTGCTTTTTTTATGAGGTATGCTTCCTGTTAACCAAAACCTTGGCCAAACAGAAGCCTTTTCCCTCTGTAGCTCAACATTCTGTCTGTCCACCACAAACACTAACATAAAGGAAGGAGAGGATAGCCTTGCACCATTTTGTTCTTTTCTATGTGCTTGTGATCTCCAAGCCACAATCCTTTTTAACTCATCCCCTGGGTCAAGACATCTGATTAAGAGTCACTGCTTCTCTGCCACAGGACAGTGTGCCATGTAGGTGAAGCAGATGTTGGGAGTGTTGAGAAATCTGCATGACTTTTATGACTTTGCCAGAGATTTCTAGAATGATTAATGTGCAATTAGTTTAACTCCGGATGCCTCAGATTCTAGAGCTAATGTGTAGACTACAGTGCTCTTGATGCCCAAAAAAAAGGCAGATAAAACTGTTTAGACAGAGTTTTATGCCTAGAACAGCAAGGTATTTATTGATTGACGGCCGGGCAGCCTGCCAGCTAGTGCTGGGAAAACAGGCTCCGAGCTGGTTAGGTTAGAATGAGTATTTTATACAGGTTTGGCAATGATTACATCATAACCACATACATATTCATATTATTGCATCATTACATTACAATATTCATAACAGGTGGAGTTAGGGGCGGAGATTGAGGCGTGGTCTCTATTTTGAGGAATATTATGGTGGTAGATCCTGCCTTACTTCCTCATAGGGTCTCAAATTCTCTCCTCTTCATCGGGTGACCTTTGTGACCTTTCATTCTTTCTATTGTTCTTGTGTTCTAATTGCTCAGCCTTAAAGAAACCCTTGGCTTTGGGCCTATTTACCTATTGAAATGTCTACCTTGGCTCCTTTGGCTAAGATTTATTACCTCTGGGCTCTTTGTACAATGCACCTGTAAGTATTTTAGGTCTGCAGAATTTGTACAGAACAAGATCTCCTTTGAGCAAGGTAGAGAAAATGGTGGGGGGAGAACAGGGGCCCCTGCAGCAAGATGCTTCAATTAACCCTTCTTCCTTCACTCTGTTGCACTAAAAGGATCTTGGAGCAGTAACTACCTATTGCTCTTGTTCCATATGAGTAAGATCTTACACAATAGGCTACTACTGGGACATCTTTGAGCCTACAATTAATCTGTTAACACTTTTCTCAGCAGGTGCAGTTTCAACAAACCCTCGATATTTTTTCAAAGTGCCAGATTATGACCCCCAAACCTATAATGTAGTAATTTCACTCATGCAAAAACACCCTGAGCATACACAGGATGCAAAAAACCTGAAGATTGGCTTTTTCATCACCATGGTAAGCACAGTCAGACATCATGCAGGCACTGTTGTTCTCTGTGTGGTTTATTATACCTGTATCTGGAAGTGAAAGACTGAATTGCCTTTTGGTCTGTAAAAGGAGAGCAGTCAGTATGTGGTGTGAATTTCTGGATGCCTTCTATTGTAAAACTTCACAGGAAAAGTAGAGCTACGCAGGCATTGCTTTCTTTATTCGTGTCTTAAGGAACAAACGTTGAACTTTTAGTTTTGTAGCATCTCACAATAGCTCTGGGAAACTCGGGGAGTCCCCAGGCTACAAGATGTGCCAGGACAGTATCCTCTGTACACACCAGCAGTACTGGTGACATGCCTTGCTGGCCTGGCACAGCACAGGACAGCCAGCACTAACCACAGCTCTTGAGCAGTATTCCAGGTACAGTAGAGAAGCAAATAGTCTTTGTTCCCCAAAGTGGGTTTGTCTCACTCATCTCCCTCTTTTCTAACACTGAAATGACACATAAAAAAAAATCATTTATAAAATACATGGAAACCTTTCTTGAGACCAGTGCAGATATCTGGGGCCTCCCCTACAATTGTCCAGTTTTCTTTCTTGGTTACTGTCCAAGGAGGTGCCTTTTCAAGAGCAGCTGTTGTCAGAGCATTACCAGGCTTACTGAAAGCACAATTGCTAGTGCAGATAAATGCTAGCCTTTTCCAGAGTGTTTTTGTTCTCTGAGGAGGGTGGGAGGGAATTGGTCTTAACCCAGAGAATAAGAGGAAGCAGAGGTTGCTGTGACACCAGCTTCACATTCTCCTCATCATTGAAGAGGTTTGCCCTAGTCCCAGACTTTGAATAACTGATGCTGTAAGTCTAACTGCTCCTAATAAAGAAAAAGCATGGCTTTGTAGCTCACAAAAACAGGGTCTGAGAAATAAGAGATGTCATAAAAGGAGCACCCTTCCAGCAAGTGAAACTTACTATCCCTGTTTGAGGTGATCCTCTGCCCTGTGCAGATATCAAGCCTGCAGGACTCCATGGGGCTATCTATGCCACTCAGCAAGAGCTGTTGCTCCTGGTAAAAGTGGGAAATTCACTCCTTTCAGCATTCCCAGCACTCACCAGGCTCTTGCATGACGTGTGTCCATGTCGATTAGTTACCCATCTTAACAGAAATGACCTTCACTGGAATATGATATCATAGGTCTTGGGTTCCTTGAAAAGAGGTTTTTTAATCAGGAAGCAGACTAGGGGACAGATATTCTCTATTCTTGCTTTATACTTAAAATTTATTTCTTCCCCTCCAGTTGATGCTCAGGTGTGTTTTCTGTCTCTTGGTATGTTCCCATGGGTGGATGAAACTCGATGAGTTTGTCAAGTCTGGATGACATGGCCTCCGTGGGTTGTCAGCCCATAACTCACCTCAGGCTCAGTTTGGGCTTCTGACCCTCAGTGACTTCCTACACAGAGCTCAAGGGCAAGGCCAGAACAGACTGTGACTAGAGGCACCCCCATTACTGTGGAGCACCTGGTCAGGGAGGGAAAGGGAACAGATATGCTGCAGTCACACCATAGCTTTTAGTAATATAATGGTATTGGTACAAATTTACACAGAGATTATACAGAAAATATTCCCTCATGGACTCAGACTAAGCATTTTAACATGAGAGCTGGTCTACCATCTCCTTACAGCCAGCCCAGTGTCCTGCCCTTGTAGCAGCAAAAGCCAAGTCCAAGGAGATAAAATCAGGGTGGGTGTAATTGCCAATCCTTTGTTTTATTTCCTCAGTCACTGAGGGCAATCAGGGGTGGCATCTTTGAGTAAAAGTTTACAAGGGGTTTTCTTTGCACAAAGAGAGTGCAACTGGTAAGATTCATGTGGCTTCACTCTTCCTCTCTGATCTGCTTTCACTGCCATTATTCATTAGCAGCATTATTCATTGTTCAGTACCTTTTGAGATGCATCAAATGGTTGCTGTGAAGTAAAAAGAGTATTAGCCCTTGGCAGGTTGAGAGGGGAGTGCAGTGCAGGCAAGAATGCAAACCAGAATGGACATATTTGATAGCTCTAGGAAGCCTTTGATTAAATATAGACATGGAACACTAATACATGGCTGTGAGGGAAGTTTAATGTTGTGTGATAGAGCTGAGAAATGTATAGAGGCTGATTCTTATCTCACACCAGTTTTGATTCCATTGAGATATTAATCTGCTTCTGCTTTTTACCAGAAGGAATGTGGAATGAGACTCAAAAGTGAAAAAAAAAAAAAAAAGGATTACACCATTTATCTCTTTGCAGCACTGCCCATTTCTATCTGCTCAAGATCTGACCCATAATACTTGGCAGTCTGTGTACCTCCCAGCCGTCTGTAACAGTAGTCATCCTTTTTTTTTTCTCCTTTCAAAATAGCAGTTTTATGTTATTGTCTCCCAAAGGCATGGCTCATAAATAACTCTGCCACGCTGTATAACCATTCTAAATGGAATTTATACATGCTGATATATTTTGGGGAATATGTCTAGGAAGGGGTTTTTATTATGCTATCTTTACATGTCATCATAGTAATAGCTGTTGCATTATATTTGTTTCATCTCAGCAAAAATACTGGAATAACAGACGGAAGATCAGAGTGCTGTTTTCTTGTGACACTTACTGGTTTGGGTTGTGATTCTTGAAGCATTGTCATCTGGGTGATATGCTTAGAGGGCTCTCTGACCCCTCTGAGTCACAAAAGATCTCGGGGAAGTTTTAGTAGGACTGTTCATCCTTGATTCCTTCATGAACTCCAGTCTGCTTAATGTTAATTGAAGTTCTCTTCAAATCCACTTACATTCCTTTTACCTTCTGTTTCTTTCAGTCCCTTCATGCTTGTGCAATTTTGATGTGCCCTTGAAAAAAAAGTCTGTCCCCTGGATGGGCTTTTCAGGCCATTGGGGAGGTTAAGGCATGTTAGATGAAGTGAGCATTTAGAGAGCTGTGGGAATGCAAGGCTGCTGTGAGCGTGCTTGCTGATTTGCATTGCTTCCTGACATGGAGGGAACATAGCCAGCTATATTTTTCCTTTCAGGAGAACTCCAAAGTTCTGAAACAAGTTTTTTCTCCGATTCGAGATGTGACCAACTACTTTATCTTGAGCCCAGGAACCTATGCCGTTGTTCCTGCTACAACAGAGGACCAAGAATTTGAATTTCTCTTGCGAATTTTCATAAAGAATCGAGACTACAAAGAGTAAGATGATCTACACTCCTTAAAGGCTCCAGACATGCAGTGTGCCAGGAATTAACTACTTAATGTCAAGATAATCGATGTGGCAATTTGCTTTGAATGTATCCTTGAAGTGTGTTGGGAAGGCATAGACGAGTGATAAGCACACAGTGTTGAGGGGGGTCTGACATACAGTCAGATGCACAGGGATGGCCACTGCAGAGCAGGGCAATAGATCATCTGCAGCCAAAGGGGTCTCAGCTTTGGTACACAAGGGAGCAATAATTGTGAGATATGTCCTCCACCCCTGATTGTGGAGAAATTCACCTTACTGAAAGGAGGACTGGGATCTTGTTTTTCTTAATTCTTAGCAGCTGTTATGTAGTTTCTTATGTTCTGCTGGCTGGATGCCAGATGGATTGTGTCCCATTCTGCTCAGAGTGGGACCTAGAGAAGCAAAGAGCAGTGAAAGGCCTTGATTCTTTCATTCAGCCACCTCATAGACAGGCTGACAGGGCTCCCTGTAGGTATGAGACAGGCCTTGAAGATAAATTTATTGGAAAAATGGTATCTTGGTTCATGCAAAGGCAGATATTACCACATGCACATATTTACATTACCACATGAATATCTGTGTGTGATTTACTTTACATAAGCAAACTCCAGTATTCAGCCTTTACCAAATGACCTCCAAGTATCAGATATGCAGTGGCTTCCCTTTAGCAAGTTTTATAGTGGAAATGATTTCAGCTCTTGCCTCATTGGCCCATATCTTAATAATGAGATTGCTTTCTAGGCTTTGGCCCCCGACAAAAATAGCCCAGAACCAAGTAAGGGAACTCCTTAGTTATGGAAAACAAACACAAGTCTGTGCTGTGTGCTGGACTGCCTTCAGCATGATGAGTCATGCACGAGATGGCTCAGCCCTGAAAGAAGCACTTTTCAGGAGAGTCTCTGATTCTCACAGAACTTCCTGAGCTAGGCCAAGCATGGAGATGCCCTTCCCATGAGTCTCTGCAGCAGTCACCTCTATAATAGCACAGATGTTATAAAAATAGAATCTGGATTGTCTAATTTCTCTACCAAGAGCAAAACTCAAGTACTGAATGTTGCTACTAAGTGTGTCTCAGAAGGAAGGGTGACCCTGGCTCAGTTTCAGGCAGTCTGCAGACATTTAGATGTTGCCTTTTAATAGCCCAGATGCTATTTTTATTCCTGACTATGGAATAAGTTAGGCTTATACCTTAAGCTAGGCAAAGAGAAAGCAGGTGAAAAATTTATGTGGCTCAAGGCAGGGCAGCCCCATCTTCTGTGTGGTGAATTTAGTCCTGGCATGCTTGGAGTAAAAGAAGTTACCCTTTGTCTGCTGCTCATGCCAACAGAGCTGGCTTGGAGAAGGCAGGGGCTCCAGAGCAGCCAGAGACTCGAATCTGCTCGTGACTGTTTGAACAGAGAGACCCAGGACTGGTGCAGCAGCCTTGGCTGAACTGGGACAGGCTGGGCAGTGTGGGTGCTGAGCATCTTGTGGGGCCATGGGCTGGGGAAGGGCTACTGTTGGTGCCTGCCTTCTGCCATGTCTGCAAATCAGTGCTCTGAAAAGGCCTGTTTTCTCCCAGTTTGACTCTTGTAACTATTTTCTAGGAACTCAAGCTCCCCGACCAGCCCAGTGCTGCCTATGGTAAGAGTCTGTGAAGATGTAGATACAGGTGGTGCTCCCAAAGAGATGACTGTTTAGTAGTCACCTCTACTGCCTCCTCTTCATCTGTTCTTTTCTACCTTTACCAGCCATGACCTGTCCCATAGTTCAGCTCTGGCATCCTGTGATCTTGCTGGGAGAGCAGGGTATCTCTCTGGAGAGATGGAAGTGACAACAAAGCCCTTCCTCTTCATGTCTTAATCAGAGCCTGATTTTTAAGGAAACAAATCTTATACTGTCCCTTTGTCCAACTGTCCTTTTCACCTCGCTATCTTTAACGTTTTGACCAAATAAATAGAGCAAGGGAAAGAGAACTTGAAAGATACTGAATTCTCACAGTGTCTGTAAAATGTGTATCTATGGAGTTGAGAGGGGGAAACTTTCACTAATTCCTGAGAGTGGCATTACACATGCCTTCCTCATGGGAATGGCTTAATTTAGGTGCTTGTACCCTATAAAGCACAGGAATCCATAGGGGTGAGGCCCAAAGCAGGTTTCTTCTGATCTTCATCAGGGTATCTTCTCAGACACAGGGCAAGTTATATTTCAAAACTGTCTGCATCCCTAGTTCAACTCACATGTCAGCCTGTCTAGCCCAGCTATGATCTGCTGCTCCATTTCCTTGCTGGGAACTGTGCACACATTGCCAGAGCTGGTCCAGTCCATGCTACTGTCTCACCAGCAAAACCCTGCTGCAAACCAGTGCAAATGCAGCTCAGGGCTTTGAAGCCAGAGGTGGGAAGCTGTTTCATTTTCCTGCATGAAATTAAATCCCATTAGAGGGATGGTGTAAATGGTGTCTTGTTATCTCTTTCCACTGACAAGCTGTCAGTTTACTTGGCTGTTGTCCTTAGCCAGTGTTTAGACTTTGATGAATTATGGGACCCACACTTTCTGCTCTTGTTCAAGTGTTTGGGCTTGACTGGTGTGAATTATCTTGCACAGAGCTGAAGGCGTTAGGCCTTAGGCTTAGATTTTTTTGAAAACTTTTTATAATGTCAAGGATAGTTCCCCTTAGTGCTTGGTGGATCTTCTAAATGGAAGGGTGAAAAAAAAATCACTTAAACTTTGAATTGCAATTGCTCAGGTACAGTCAAGCCTGCCTTGGGGCTGAGAAGGTACAAGAGAAAGGAAATGACAACTCCTGTTCTCTCTTCTTTGTTCATATGAATCTTCACATGTCCTGAGACAGTGGTCCCAACTAGGGGTCATCAATAAGGATCAGGCTTTGTATCTCTATATTCATGTATTGACTTGCTAAATTCCACCCTGAATGTGATCTGTCATCTTCCTTAGGCCTTGAGCTGCTCCTTGCTAGTTGTATGAAATGCTAACACCCAAACTATGCCTCTTCTTTCATTGCAGTAGCTGTTCCTCACTTCTAGCCCACTTTACTTTCAGGGTGTTAAAACTCAGTCTGTACTGTACATTCTCTGTCTCTCTTAAGTGCTGTTTGGATCGTCAGACTTTTGCCTCCAGTTGTTTTGTAACTGAATTATTTATGTCTATACTTTGTCTTTTATGCAGGATGCACTGACACTGAACCAGGACAGCTCGTATAAGGCTCTTTTCCTAAGATATGCTATGCAGGTATCCTGTCTAAAACATCTTGCTGAAAAATAAAAAAATAAAAAAGACTTGTGGACTTGCAAAAAAACAAACAAACAAAAAAAACAAACCCAAAACTGATCTATGATGTTGATACAAATTCATCTAGAATTTTTTTTTTTCTTAAATGTAGCTTGATCCTCAAGTGGATACTCTGAAAACAGTATTGATTGACCTGCCAAAACGCACAGAAAAAAGGGACATTCAACTGGGATAGATTGGCTAGTGCCATATATCAGTCGAATATCGGAGATTTGTAGTTGCACTGGTGATGGGCTTACATGTGTACTTTTTGTGGTTTTTTTTTGGGTCTGGTTTGTTTATTTGCTAAAAGCAATTAGAAAGTCTTGGGTATTCCTCCCCTCTCATCAGCATCATTTTCCATTTGCCTTCTCAGCACTTGGAAACCAGACATCAGTCAGCGTTTGAGTAATTGATTCCTGCTCTTTCAGAGCCAAGCTCTGTGTTCACAGGAGAAGCTTTTAATGGTTTAATAAACTGTTATAAAGAACTCCTTGACTTAGTCAAGAGGAAAAAAATCACTCTCAGAAGTCTCTGCACAATGGACCTCTTGCTGTTAATAGTTATATCAATGCACGAAGGTGAAAATGAACATGACCTGCCACACTGGGTGCCCCAGGGGTGTCTCAGGAGGGAGGCAGCCAGGTTCACTGATGGGCAGCCCTGAGGGAAGCAGGCAGCAGTGCCTGTGCTCCCAGTCCACTCACACAGCTGCCTGCTGTGCCTGCCCATCACCAGCTCCTTAGCTACCGTCTGGTGAAGCCAGCAGGTTGTCCCATCACTGCTGAAAATATGCTATGGTGAGGGCAGTGCCTGTAACTCCCCTGCAGACTCTTGTAGGGAAGGACAAAGGTTTGCCCAGCACTGTGAAGGGCTTTGTTATGTTCCTGAGGGGGATGCTGATGCTCCTCTGATATATAAGCAGAGGTTCTTGATTGCCACAGAGCATGAGAAAAGGAGCTTTGAGCAAAAGTGACACAGCAGAAAACTTTACGCTCACAGACCTCTCTTTGCATTTTATTCTGCATTAGGGCTCAACTATTGACGCCTCACAGCTGCAACAACTGCTTAATGAAGTGATCCTGCAAGGTAAAGCTTTTACAGTTCTGCTGCTGTCTTTGGTGCTTCCTTATCCTTAGACTAGTGTAAATTAGACAGAGGATTTAGTGGTGTCCCTATGGTCCTCAAAAAATCCTCATTGTGGCTTACTGTGCTGTTGGATCAAACACGAGATGGGCACAGCCCGAGGGCTCGAACCAGCTCAGCCATGCACGAGGCTCAAAAGTGCTCTTAGGACTTGCTAGTGCAGCATAAGTGGCCTTTCTTATCACAGACATTTCCCTATCCCTTACTTCAAGAGGGAAGAGTTTCCATCAGGGCAGGTAGGTGGGCAGAGACTGTGCAGAGTAGCTACTTGTGAGCCTGAGCACAGCAACTGTACTTGGGGAAGGGAGCAGAAGAGATGTCTGAGATGTGTCAGAGTCCCTCAGTAGACATCAGCTTGGCACAGAACCCTTGCTACTGTCTGAGAATCTGAGCCAGATGTGGGGCTTTTATGCTATGTGAGCCTTCAGACCGGTGTCCTCCTTCCCTCTGAAAGATCTCCTGATGCCAGTCACATCCCTCATCTCACTAATTCCTTCTGTTTTGTCAATCCTTGCAGATGAAATGACCAGCCTGGGAGGAAGATTCAGCTTCGATTCGTGCAGAGGCATTTTAGCTCTGATGGATGTATCCTTTCAGCAGAAGCAATAAACTTTCCCAGTGCTGCCTATCCTTACCTTGAGTTATGGGTGAGCTGAGCATCCCTGTGTGAGAACCTACAGGTGTGCAATTAGCCACAATCCTCAATAAAGAACTGTCCAAGAGTCTGTGCAGCACTTTGCTGTGCATGCCCTGGCTCTGATGTGTCTGGTGAAAGGTGAGGGTCTTCTAAAGCTAACTCTTTGCTCTCATTTTTCCTTCTGCTGGGCCTGGGGCTTGCCTAAGATTCACCCTTGGTTGCAGATCCCAGGCAGAGCCCAGGAAAAGAGGCAGCACAGAGCTTAGGCAGAGCTTAGCTCTTCCATCCCAGCTGCACCACCCTGGCCTGTGGTGGCACTTGAGCAGGCTGCCAGCCCTGCCAGCAAAGCTGGTGTCAGGGGCACAGGCACTGTCACCACTGAATCACAGGCATTTGCCTGGCAGACCATTCAACCTCTCAGGTGTATCTTTCCTATTTAGATGGATCACACAGTCTTTTTACTGTTAACAAGACAACACAAGAAATACATTTCTGCCTGTTGTAGAACAAGAGGGCTCCATGATGAAAACAGACATTGTTCCCCATGTGTTTTCTCCCACTTGCTTGCTCACTGTCTCTTTTCTTCCATGCCTTGATATAACTTTGAAACATTTTCAGACCTTTACAACTGCCACAGAATGAACGAAAATGACCAGAAGTCCCGCAAGAGACTTTTCCCCCTTTCCAAAACTCATCCTGGGATAAGTGGGCTCTGTGAACGCATGGCACATGCAAGGAGCTAACAAAGCCACTGCTCTGCTTTAATTCAGGATGGTTTTTTCATAGTCTGGGCTGCATACAACCAGCCCATGTACAGTGTGACTTATCCTAAAGTCTGCAAAGCCAGGATCAGCTTTTTTTCTCAGGTTTCATGACAGTGGCACTTGTCTCCTTATATTTCACTGCTGATGAGTTTTACTTTCTGGGAGTTTTCACCATTCCAGCTGCATTATGTGAGGTGCTGCATGTCTGCCAAGGATTCCTGGATGGAGTATGGAGGGGCACAGTTTTACTGACACAGTCCTTTGTGCATTCTCTGTGGGATGTCTGCTGACATTCCTGGGCTCTTATGCATGGCTCAAAGCTTGTTTCTGCCTTCTGACAGAAGGCATCAGGACTGTCTCCTCATGCTCTTACTCCTTCAGCGCATGTTCCTCCAGGAGAATCCAGCTAGAGCTGATAATGTGAAGCCTCATGCACAGAGGGAAGACCATAGGCCCATATTCATTCTCAGGGGCATCCATAGTCGGTGACTAAATGTCACTGCAGGTTTCTTTGTGGTTAAGGCACCATATAAATAGAAACCTTTTGTTGTTTGTGAGCACAGATATGAGCAGCTGTACCATGTGTCAAAGACGGTGAATTTAACTCTAACCATAATTGAGAGCAGAAAAGCTTTTGGCTTTCTCAACAGACCAAAGAGGCTGCATCTTATGTCTTTATGTGAAAACAGCATCCTCGGGAACAAAGACAGCCAGGTTTGGCTCTCATTAACTGCTCGATTCTTAACTAAATGCACAGCTCAACTCGAACGGACATCTCACACTGCAGGAGTTCGGGAGCCTCTGGCGAAGTCTCACTAAGTACATGGTATGCAGGGGCTGCTCTCTCTTCTCGGCGGATACTGTACCCTTGGGCTTTTCATCAGCAGGGAGCAGATGCTCTGTGATATCAAAACACTGCAGGGGGGGAGCATTGCAAAGGTTGCTTGCTTAGGGGGTCAGAGTTCCATCCTCTCACGCAAAGGTTGAGAGCTCAGGAAGCAGTGGTGTGTGTAAAGTGCTCCAAATGAGCAGTCGAGGCTTTTCTAGCACAGAGAACATTGAGGGAGATCTGAGTAAAGGTAGGAAGCCCAATTAGGCTCAGAATTTGATTGAAATCTCTGTGTCTGCAGTTTGTAGTCAAAATGTGCAGGATCCAATGAAAGCTTGTCTGGGAGAAATGTCGCTGCTCCGAGATAAGCGTTAGGTCTGGAAGCAGTGAAAACAGTAGCATGGTATTTAGGGTCCCACATAAATTCCCAGTCAGGGCATGCATGGCAGCTTCTCTGTGTTGGGTCCTTCTCTTTCAGTCTTGGTGCAGGATGGGAAGGTTTCCTGAAACCTGGGTTGGGCTCTAACTTGTTTCAACCCTCATGAGATAGTCTGAGCCACCTTGGATGGGGTGGCAGTTCCCCATCTAGCAACAGTGCTCTTCCCACTGACAGCACATGAAGTGTGGCTTGTGGTGTGTTAGAAAAGATGACTCAACACCATTCTGGGACTCAGGCACTCCTGGCTTATTTCACATGTTATAGACAATGTCTTTTTGTCAGTGAAGTTGAGTATTCCCATTGCTTGCTTGCACACGTAAGATGGAGAGTGAGGAAAAAGGCTTCCACCCACACAAAACTGTGCAGTTTCTTACACAAAAACATTCTGTCGGAGCCTTCTGGAAATGGGTCTCCCTTGTCATGGCCACCTCATCTTATCTGTTAAACTATCTCGAAACCTATTTCTGAAGGAAGAAAAGCGTACATAATTAGGCGTGGTAGTAAATTTGGGTAATTCTGATGAGTGCTTGAAATCTGCCTTTACACTGTTTTTTAGGATATCTTCAGGAAGGAAGACAGAAACCATTCTGGATTCCTTGATGTTGCTGAACTGAAGAGTGCGATACAGACAGCAGGTACATCCACACGTGTTGAACAGCTCCCTTTCTTGTCCCTGTGCCAGTGAAGGAAAGGATGAAAAAGAAAGAGGAAACAAAAAAAGAGCTTCAGGGAGAAAGTGGTTTGGATTTCACAGAGGTGTCAGTTAGATCACAGCTCTGCCCAGAGCTCTGTGCCGGGGAACCAGGAGAGATGCAGAGAAGTGCAGCACTGGCCAGACTGGCTTATCTACAGTCTCTCTAGGTCATAGGTGAAACATCCAGTAGAGGAAAGGAGCAAGGAACAGTGGATGCTTGCACTTGCCCCAGTTCCTGCAGTTTCTCTCCATGGCAATGACTAAGTCTAGAAGGAAAACCACAGTGACAGGCATTTATTTAGTTTGCACTGACCTCTGTTGGCTACTGAGTGCTGAAACTTGCAGTGAGTGCATGGGACCCTGTTACACGAGTGAAGTAGTTTAGCTGAGTCGTCTCTCTGGAGACTTTCTGTATGAAATGCATCTCTAACACGGCAATCCTCTTGTTAGAGAAGTTCCTTTTTGGCTACTTAGAGCTCAGAGGGAGGTTGTCCTTGGGAGGAAGCTGGTGCAGGATTGCTATCCGTGGAAGACATCAGCTCGGGGAATGTTAGGTGTAAATTATTTGCTGCTGAGAGGTGGGCAGAGTATTAGCATCTGCCTGAGGAGTGCAGCACTGACGTGCCAAATGTCAAAGGAGAAGCTGCCAGGTCCATTCTGTAAAAAAGATGCTAAACAAGTGTAAAACTAGGAGGAAAACTGTACACTGGGAAGTCCTGTCAGCCAAAACAGTGCAGCTATTTGAAGGGATAAAAAGACACTATTAAATGGCAAATTCAATACATGTTTGGCAGTTCTGAGTGGGGAAGAAGAAGAAAATTATAAGCTCATTATTGCTGCCTTCTGAGCCAGACGACTACATTTGAATCTGGCTTAGTAATAGGATGATCCTAGTCCTGGCTTTTAAGCAGGAAGGAACAGCTGACCCCAGAAGATGTTTGGGAGCTTGGTGCTACCTCTGGGAATGGTATTAATGTATCTAAAAACATTTCTTAGCCAGCTGTTCCCTGAAGTGTTTGGTGCTTTTCCCAGCAAAACACTGCAGCGTGCTTAATTTTCACTGTTTTCCGATTGCTTCCGAGCATAATGAGGATGGGGCAGAGTAAAGCAGGCCAGCTGCAATAACAGCATTGCTGCCCTGAAATGCAGGGGCACTGGCCTGGTGTATTTACACACTCTTCACTAGCAACAGTAAATGCATCAAAATAACTTTTAAAAATAGGGAAACCAAATCTGTCTTTTAAAACTTGGCTAAAAGCAGAGCGGGGAGTAGTCTTTTAAATAAGCAACTGCACATATCTGGAAAGTCTTGGGAACAGAGAGGAATTGTTGATGAGGATAACTGAGAGATCTTGCCAGGTGTGCAGATTTCAGAGCAAATATATCCCAGACTGACCAGGTCAAACTGTTGGTGGTTTACTAGTGTGAGACGTGATTATAGCATCTCATTAGCAGCACTACAATGTTTGCTGGAATCAGCACTCCAGAGAGAGCTTGATCGAATTCCCACAGTCTTCAAACGGTTAAAAATAGATAGAATTCATTGCTCACTGCCTCAGTGGTTCTTGGCAGTGGTTAAAAACCACAATAAAAAAAGACATTTCATTAAATAGATTTATTTTTAATTACTAACTTTTTCTCCTTAGAAAAGAATCTAAAATCAGGTTTACCTTATTTTGAAATGTATCTTAAGCCCAAATGTATTTAGATTCTTTAAATATTCAGCATTGTGTATCTGCTTCCTGCTGGAGACCTCCAGCTAGGCTCATGCAACTAGAGTTTGCCAATGGTGGTACTAAACCACCTCCATCAGCTCTATCTCTCCCTGTACAGGTGTAGAGAACCTATTTCTTTTATTTCTGCTTGTTCAACTAATTTAGCTCCATGATGAGTTCATTTAAAACTGAAAAGTTTAGAGCTGGTTGAAAAGCCAGGAAAGTTACTTCTCATCCAGCTGAGCTGCTATAACTGGGAGTGAGCAAATGAGACTTTTCTGAAGTCTCAGAAAGGCATTAAACCGAAGCTATCAGTCCAGCTCTCTGCAGAAAATTTCCCTTTTGTTTCGCAAATCAGCTTTTAGTGCAAAATATATTTAAATCATTCCTCTTATATAGCCAGCACATTTAGGGTAGTTTTATTTAACTAATAAAAGAATCATTCTAAAAGGCAATTTTTGTTCATTCAATTGAATACCAATTTCCATCCAAACAGACTGTGACACAAATACTGAATAATCAGCTAATAAAAAAGAAATGCACTCTTTGCCATTTTCTAATAGAAGAGAAAATGTAAAAATTAAGAATCCCAGGCATGCTATACTGCATAATAGCATGAGCAGGCGGCATCTCCCTGTTTAGCAGAAAGTGCCAGTGCTATTGTAAATGCTTCACTCAGACCTTAACAGTTATGAGCCAAAGAAAACCACCCTTTCTTACAGAAAATAAAAGCTAAAAGGGAAAAGCAAGATAATACTAGATTAGTTAGCTCAGTGTTTCCTGCTTGCTGAGTTAAACCACAATCCAAGTAAGTGAATAAGACGACTTTGATTTTCCATTACCCTACTGTGTCTCTCAGGCACAAAACTATGGAGAGACAAGCTACTGTCCAGGGATGCAGAGAGCTGGCATGACAGGGTGGGGGGCTGAGGGAAGGCCCCAGCTTCTCTGCAGGAAGCACAAGGCCATCGGAGCCCATCCATCATCTTGCAGAGTCCTCTCAGTGCTGTCATTCCCCTTTCCTCCTCAGGCCTGGCCACTAACAACCAGCTCCTGCGTCTGCTGGTCTTGCGGTATGGCGATGCTGCGGGGAGAATGGGCTTCTCTGACTTTGTGTGCTGCATGCTGCGCCTCGAAACCATGACCTGTGAGTCTCAGCACCGGGGCCTGGGCACAGGAAGGGGACGTGGCTGCAGGGGAGTTTGAGAAGCCAAACTGAGGGCAGCAGCAGGAGGCAGGGGACAGGACACTAGACATGATAACACGTCTAACAGCATAGCTTGGAAGTAAAAAAACCTACCCAAAGTTCAGGAATGGTCCAGGAATCCTCTGGGACAGCCAAAAGCCAGATTTGTCTCCTGCCCGCAGGAGCAACTGGCAGGTAGAAAGCAATCTAGTGTTGAGAGAAAGCAGCAGCTGGGAAAAAAAGCAGCAGCTGGGAATCCAATGATATGCCCGCAATGATAGAGGCCAGAAGGAAGGTAGGCCCCCAGTTTCCCATCAGAGCTCATCAGAGTGCCTGTGGGCTGCAGTGACACTGCAATAGTCTGTGCTTTTCCCTGCTGAGGAGTAATGACAGTGTATATCCAGAGCTTCTTCAGCTGTCAATCCTCTTCTACTGCAAGAATTTAGCCTGGCCCCTGCATGCTTATCCTTAAAGCCCCTATGCATTAAGGCTCGTTTTTCCAAAAACAAGATATGTTCTTCGCTGGTGCTCTTCCACAGAAGCCTGAGCATCATGGTCCACAGCAGAACTTCCTCCAGGGTGGTGTGAAGCATTGCTGGTACCACTCAGGGGACATTGCCTTCAGTGATGCTCAGTGAACAGGAGTGAAGTGCCCCATCTCAAGTGGAAGGTGTCTTTGTCTTTTTGTTAAAACACAGAGAAGTCTGAATCATAGCTAGGGAGGGGTTTGTTGTTTTTTGTTGTGTTTTGTTTTGTTTTGTTTTTAATCTAGAGAGATATATTTTCCCCACCAACTTTGGTGAAGTTCTCTCAGTTTTTTGGTAAGGAGAAGGTCTGAGATCTTTCTCAGTGGATAATGAACCCATGCCCTGTGTTGCATCCAACTATTGTCTGGCAGTTGCAAGGAGGAAGAAGCCTCTTCTAAATGTAAATGTTTTACAAAAGCATAATTTTTACTACTCTAATAATAAGCATTTTTACTGGAACTACTGGTAGTTAAACAAAGCCAGCAATTGTGACCCTGGTGCTAGAACATCGCTACAACAATTTATTTCATCTTTGGAATGAGCAGGGTTTCAGCAGTGCATGGAAACGAGTGTTCATTTTTTTTTCCCATGTGTTTTTGCCACTGATGTTTAATGGGCCAATAGTGATCAGCAGATCCACTCAGATGACACTGCCTAAAATCCCATTTCAAGGGAGTACAGCAGAAGCAACTCAGAAAGTCAGAGCATGTCCTGATTTTAATGCTTTCATTTAAAAAAAAAAAAAAAAAAAAAAAAAAAAAAAGACAGCTTGTAAACACCTGGTTTTTGTGATTATACATGTCACTTCCAGTAGATGAAAGTTCTTATGTCTAAATTAGTACCACGTATTTTTTTCATCTAAAAAAGATCCTCTTAACTTGTAAATGCGAATATGAAGACAAAACATTTACATCCATGTGGAAAGGAGCCTCTAAAAGTTTCATTGCTATTTGTAATGAGAATCTTAAAATGCTCTCAACTCTTCCAGTTATCATTTCACAGAGGGTTTAACATGGAATACATTCCTCAGACTTTTCAAATCATTGTGAATAAGTTTGTTACAGGAGAGGATAAGGGTGCCAAGTGGGAATAACAGGCAGCAAACCTTTATGATGATGTGAATGCAGCAGGGAAGACAAAATCTGTGCCATTAAATCATTACTCATCCTTTCAAGATAGCCAGAGATGATACCCAAACCAAAAGCAGCAGCTCCTTTGCAAATTCTATTTAACTGGAGTTAATGAAGCAGTAAGGAGGCACTTACCTCTGCCCAGAGGAGGTAATTTCAGCGCTGCCATTTTTTCCTAAAAAGATTGCTGGGTGCAAGCCTAGCCCTGCAAATACAACCTTGTCAAGGGATGGGGTGCAATATGAGGATTTCCTCGTTCTACACCTTTCTTCAGAGCAGTGTAGGCTGGATGTGCTTCACCGTGTTAGCTCCCCTCTCTGCTCTGGACCGTATGAGTAGCTCTGGTTGCCTCCTAAGGGGCAGAGGAGCAATGAGCCTTTGTACCCTTTTCCTACCCTCTCCCAGCAGCCTTGTGTTTTTTTCTAAGGCTGGGCAGGTTCCAAAAAGTGCATGATATTACAATTCTTTTTCATTCAGGTTGGGAAACAGGCTCCTGGAGAGACATGTCATTCAAGGATAGACAGACTCAAATTTGTTTCAACTTTTTATTACTGTTTATAACAGCACATTTCTAGGAGAAAAGTAACTTCAAAATAAATAAAAAGGACTCGGAACGGTGTGTTTTGAGTTTATCCAAACACTTGGGTTTGAAGGTTTCTCCTAGTCAATTTGCAATATAAATGTGCACATAGAATATCAATATTTGAATGGATTTAAATTTTCTGATGGCAAAGTGTTCAGTCAAAAAACTTTCAGCAATGTTAATTTCAAACTCTAGCTGAATAACAGCAGCATCTGCATTTATATTCCCTGGAAAAAGCTTGCAAGGCATACTAATGATTTCAAGAGAATCACTTTCTTTAGGGCACACTGTGATCACTCACTGCCAGGGAGGATGGAAAAGGACCAACAGAAAGTTTCCCTGTGGGAAGATGTGTTTCATTAGTTCACTGTTCTCCTGTCAGTCTTCAGGCAGGAAAACAGTTGAAACAAATCGTGAGAGGAGATGAAAGCATCCACATTGAGCACTCTCTGTCCCTACAATTCTGCCAAATTCCAGCCCTGAAACTGGGATGCCTTCCCAGGCTGTGACCCCTGGGCCAAGGCAGAGGGGGTACCAAGCACAGAAATGAGATGTGGCCGGGCAGGACAGTGTGGGTGGACACCTGAGCCAGGCAGAGCATCCCAGCACGGGGATTGCAGCTCTGCTCCTCAGCTACCACCGCCTTATGTCTGCTTTGCATTCCTGCTTCCTTCTTATGAAATAAGGTTTTCTTTGTTCTGCCCATAGATGCATTTCAAAACTTAGCAGAGGGCGGATCACAAATTTCGATGACAGCAATTGAGGTAAGAATGCTCCCTCTCCCTCTCCCTCTCCCTCTCCCTCTCCCTCTCCCTCTCTCCCTCTCTCCCTTTCCCCTCCTCCCCTCCCTTCCCCTCCAGAGGGCTTTTGCCTCTGACACCAACAGCGGTGAATGTTTTGCCTGGCAGGAGGTGCATGATGTGTGGATATTTCTCTGGGGTTCCCTGGCCCCAGTCACAAAGCCTTGTGAGGGTGAGCACAGCGCAGGGCTGACCATCCATGTCCAGAGCACAGAGGCTTCCCTTACTGATGCCAGCCTGTCATTGCTGGAAACATCGCTCAAAGTGACTTTGAGAAAGTGACAAAAAAAAAAAAAAATTAAATTCCATGCCCTCATTTCTTACTGCCCCATCTGTTAATCCTGAATTGCAAAACATCTTGGTTTCCAGAAAGAAATAGCAGACAAATGTTTGCTGCTGCTGTTTGTCTTAAAAGCACAGCCTGAAGGATAGCTAGCTGAATGGGGATACATCAAGCTTTTTATCAGTTAGTCTGAAGCAAAAATCCTGCTGTGCTCCACAGTGATATGCCTGAGTGCTGCATTTTATCAGTCTGGGGACTGTTATTTGACAACCCACTGTTTAAAAGGATTTAAAAAAAAAAACCTTTTACAATCTTGCCAGCTCCTGTTTACACTCTGTGGTTAGTGCAGTGGCTCACAGTTCATTAAATCTGTTTTGCACCAGGGACGGAGCATAGTTTGCAAGCAGAAGACCTGAACCTATTTTATAGGGTAGTCTGTAGGACAAGCAGATTCCCAGAGGTTAGTATCCTTTCCACTCGCAATCAGGCAGGTGCCATCCTCTCCCAGCAATTGCTCCTGCTGCAGCTGCTGCAATAATTTATCATGGAAAGCAGCATATGGGAAGTGTTTCTGGGTCTGAATTGTAATAAGGGGAAAAGGCAACTCCAAAACTCCTTAACTGTCCTGTGCAGACAAAAGCACCATAGTCGTTGGATCAGAGCCTGAAGGCACCAAGACACGTCTGAAGACTTGGTGTAACATCACTTATCTAAGTGCACCTTTTCTTGTCCTTTTTGCAGTGGCTGACTCTTGTCATGTACACCTAAAGGAATGTCAGAGTTCACGGTAAGAAATCACAGAACTATACAAACTGGGAAGAGCGGGTGGGTGCCCTTACAGTGGACACAGGGAATGTGAGTGGGGGCCTTACAGAAAGCTCACCCTGAGATTATACTGGAGAAAGATGAGAGCTGTGGCATGAGCGGGGCTGGACAGGAGCTGTAAAGGGATATGGACTTGGGGCTGTTTTTTCTGGGGAATTGGTGATGGCCTTCTCAGTTACACAGACCACGAGTGGCTGAGCTATCCACTTGCCCCTGGTTCCCACCTGAGGTGATACATTTTCAAAAGATCAGCAAGCAGAATTTTTGGGGTTTTTTTGTCTTCTTCTGAGAGGTACCATTACCCCAGCATATCTTACACAGCTGTGGCAAGTAGAGGGTGGGTGTATGAAGCCACTTAGATTTCTTGGTCAGTCTGATTCCACAGTTTTAACTGAATTATGTGATTTAGTTTGCTTTTGAACAACAGTCCCCACCTTGTGCTTCACTTCATGTTTGGTCCCTGCATGTCAGGCCTAGAGAGGGGTTTTTTAACTCTGTAGTTTACCTGGACTTTCCAATTTTGCTACATGGTTCTTGTGAAGGATTCTGACTTTTCCTGCAAAACTTTCTCTGTTTGTACATCCA